GTTCAATATAAGTAATATTAAACCTGAGCAAATGCAACCAACACCAGTTACTACAGAGTTGTGTTATCAGTGTAGCCATACCATAACTCCCACTTTAATCTGATTGAATAACAGCCATCAGCATTGCAACATGATTGCAAGAAAGCATGAAGTGGATTGGATAAATTTGGAGAGAGACAGTTTAAAAAGTTATAAACGGTTTCTACTTTTAAAACAAAGAGGGAATTTACAAATTAAAATGAAGTAATATTTATTGCTAATTTGTTAGAATTTTGATGTACATATTTTTTATCCATTCAGATCTGCAGTAGTCCATTACAGCTATTCCTAGATCATCCTATTACACACACGTATACATATAATTTGTGGTATGTTTGTTTTAATGTTATATGTGTCTTATTTTAACTTCCATATTTATTTGACATTCAATAGTGTGAATGCCATATTATGGAATGAAAGATAAATCATAAAAATGCCTCAATGATTAAAAAGTATGTAAGTAGCGACAGGCGATCTGATTAAAATTGATGACTTGTATATTATGAGAGGCAGTGAAATACAGAATATGTCCAGTGATCAGAATATATGTAATTGATTTGTAGCTTAAAGAGAGGTCCAGTAAACACCATGAGTAAAATATTTTTATTTTTAAAAGTTTTCATTTGTATTCGAGAATTTTAATATTGCAGTAACATATATTTGCCTCGTATATATTACCTCTTGTCTAGTATGTATACCGAAAAGGAAAATAATTTTAAAAAATGTAGTTAAGAACAGAGAACTTTCATTATTTTGTCATGCCTTACATATCTTCATCAAAGTGTTTAAAGTGCCTATTTCTGAAAGAAGAATGAGAACACAGAGAGAAAAGTAAGTATTAAAAACTTTGTAAAACTACATGGAGAAAATTGACAAGGTCAGCCCTTACCAGAGTGTAAGCTTTTACAATTTTCATGCTCTGCAGGAGATTATTACACTAATGTACTTTCTCTTAATGGACAATAAGCATTATTAATCCATTAAAAGAAATGTATAACCCATTGCATCTTTTAACTTGACAGAGATCAACTAGAACAGTTAGGTATATTTGAGCTTTTATAATTGCACTGGTAAAAATTTAGGTCAGTATGGGCCGTTGAAAATGTCTGCCATGATTCCACCACTTTTCTAACTTTGCTTCTCACGGCTGCTTTAATCATAATTGTATTTATTTTGCTCCTTTCAGACTGTAGCATATCTGGAGTTAACTCTCCAAATGAAAAATTGATTCATCTGTGAGATTATAAGTAAGTCCTTGATACTCCTGATCAACCATGTGCATTTTACAGCTCAAGTTGTGTCTCATTAGATATATCCTTAAGCTCTAATGCAGTTTCCCTACAAGATTTATTTGGGAATTATTCGTTACATAGATTTCGTATTTTGCAAAAATAAATTAAAAAGTATTTAAAAATGTTTCTCCATCCTACATATACACATATTTTTATACTCCCTGGTTATTTTGTTAGATCTGTCGTAGGGTTCCATTAAGTGATTGTATGCATACACGAGATCATATACTTCGTAAATTTCATCACTTATGACTTGATTGACAAAGCATGTCTTTTTGAAACTTTACTGGCTTGGAATATGGCTGGTTACATTTTTTTATTAATTTCACATAGCAGTTGCTTATAGTAATAATAGAATGTTTTTAAGAATGCCTACTATCTTAGTTGCTGGTGAGTTTTGACTTTTAACCTTTTGTCTAAGTTATAGCTTGATGAGTCAGTGTTATATGAAACTGCAGTATGTTTCCTAAATGGACTTTTGAATGGGAGATGTTTGTTATTTTAGGCATTCTTTATGAAGCAAGAAAACTGAAATCGTGGCTGTTTTTTTCAGATCTGCGAATCTTAACAAAAGTAGGAATTGATATAGTATATCGCCATATATCAGGTTATGTTTTGCAGTTTGTAAAATATTTTTATGGAGAGACCGTTATCTGTTAAAGGGCTCAAAAAAGCATTTTCTCCAAAATCTGTAATGTTTTAATCCTTTCACCGTCCTCTCCTGTCCGCAAAAATTTCTCCTCAGCGGCCCTTTGTTTTTTGCAGTGTATAATGTTTGTTTTTTTTCTTTTTTTGTATATACAACTTTCGTAGTGGATGAATTTAAATGAATATTAAGTAAAATTATAAGGAAATGAAGCATAATGGAAAAGTAATCTCTTCTTATTTCTAACAGCAGGATTAATTTTATGACATCTGATCCAGGCAGCCTTCTCCTCCCATTTTGTTGTAATCTGTTAGTTATTGTTTTTTTTTAGAGTTCTTTTCTGTATTTCAACATCAATCATAGTTATTATGGATCTTGTCTTTCCAATTCACAACCTCATTTTTTTCTCTTCTGCTGAGTAGGTGTTGGAGATTTCTCACTGTCTTGTACCTTATGTAAAATGGTGCAAATATTCATAAAACCTGGGGGTGATTCAATTAGAAACAGAATGCCTGATTAGTACTGCCCTGAAATGTTTAATAGTTTTACAATATAGAAGAACGCTTAAAGCGCATTGCGACTGCCATGCAGAAGTTTTACTTGAAATGTGCTAGACGTGTTATGGATGACAAAGAGGTTAAAGTGTGATATCTTTCAAAGCACTTTCCTTTGTGCAAGTATACACTGCAAAATTTGAAACCCAGTGAATCAGCTCAGTTGGTGGTGAATAAGTTTCTTGCTGCTACAGGACATCTGATCTCTTGAAAGTCTAGCCTGACATTTGGGAGAAGGAGGTCTATAAGGCTGTAGATCCATTGTTCAGACAACTGCCCACCGCCTGTGTGCTGTGGTGTTTGTAAGCATTGCAGTTGGACTAAACAAAACTGCTTGTGTAGCATTCTCAGATGAAAGCAACTTCAATCTGTCATCGGCTTGTAGATGCCACCTGGTCTGGCATGAGAGTGGTATTGCTAATTGTCCAGAAAAGGGCCTGAAATCAGAGTTGCAATATCGTGGTATGGGCTGGCATCATGATCAATGACTACATCCTGGGTGTGTGTTTGCAACTGGAACTACGGCATTACCAACAATACATTGATGCAGTTTTATTGCCTCATGTTTGCCTTTTCCTTTGTGCTGTTTGATATTTTATTGTAAGCACCACATGAAATATTATCCAGAACTTTTTCTGTATTCTTGAGTGGCCTAAAAACTTCAAAGATTGCTGGATTGTTTGTTTACTGTTGATCCTTCTTCGGAATCATCTGAATCAGAACTGCTGGAAATTCATTCTTGGTTTGAAAAAAGTCCTAGGATATAGCATAATTTCGTCCTCACTAGAATTGTCATCGGTAAATCTGTTTTTGTCAAAATAATTCGACATACTATCTGTACACAATTCAACATCAAAGTCTGTTCTATTGCGGTCTGTTTTTAGGACTTCTCCCATGCTTTAACAACAATCTTCACAAAATGACCGTCTTGTGCTTTAATACAGTCAAAAGTTGTTAATTCGGACACTCATAATCCAGAATGATCTATAATTCGGACCTTAAAGCTACAAACTTTCTGCGCATGCTGCGCTTTACGGCTGCGAATATGCTTGTGCGCGTGCGCAAAATATATTTGCGTGTGTGCGTTTAATGTATAACGGACGGTATAAGCTAAGCTAAAATTATCTAATTATCTATTTCAGTTAATCTTGCAGATTGCGTTGTTCCTTAATCGTCAAATTGGATCTGGCTTAAACTGGTTAGCAAATTTTATAAAAGTAAGCTTGAACTTTCAATTATGTCAAATAGAATTTCTGATATATATTTACTAATATGTAAAGGATCTACAAAGCAAAAGTATGTTTTGAAGTTCATTAAACAAAAAGTGGAATTGCTGCAAAAAATGGATAAAGGCATATCCTTTGTTTATTTAAACTTTAACGTTTATCTAAACTTTGTTTATCTTTAACGCAGCAGTGGGGAGCAATGAATTGGAAGTTGATCTGTCAGCACTAACCTTATCTTCAGAACATATGTTTTTATTTTATTTGACTTATAATTCCTTACTAAATGTAGTATTTCATCTCGATGTACTCCTCCATCTTTGATATGATTTAAATCAAATGCCTCGTTGTTATAATTCGCTTAAGCGAAGAAAGTGACAGAGGTTATTGAAAACGAAAAAATTTCGATTGACAAATTAGTCGGTAGACACAGCAATTATAAGACGAACAGCGGAACTTTGTAACTGAACAAGAAATTATGTCCGTTTATAGAATTAAAGAGAATATATTATCACATAAAAAACGAAGCAACTTTTAAACAACTTACATTGAAAGAAATGTTTAATAAAGTAAACAAATAAATATTAAGCTTTTTTTTTTTTTTGTAATTTTTTGATACCCTTTAGATCATAATTGTTCTTTATTTCATAAATTACGGTTTCATATTTTTAATTTTATAATTTCTGCATGTCATCTTACCAGATTTAAACTGATGATCTATAATCCGGAATCGCCGAAGTCCCGACAAGTCCGGATTAACGACTTTTGACTCTAATGAAGTGCGTGAATCAAGTTTAGTTATTTCCCTATGAAGATATGTTAATAGCGTTACAGAATTAAAAGAACAACAAATAGTAAAAGGTTTAGAACAGTGGTTCTTGACCTTTTGACCAACACATACCACCTAAACAAAAATTGAAAACCTTTAGTACCACCACTCTTGAACAAAGCTGAGATCGCATACATTTATGAGTGTTAGAGAAAAAAACTCAATCACGATGTTGGGGTTTTAATCTTTGAATTTAAAAGTAAAAAATATTTTGCTTCTTTGCGTACCCCTGGTTTAGAGCATGCAGTCAGTAAGCTGGTTATAAATAACATTTAAATTGTATTCTAAAAAGACAATATTTGACATGACGGCCAGTTGGAGGATTAAAATAAGATTCTCTTAGGCATGTAGTCTTAATAACGAAATCAATTTTATGTAATAGATTAAATTAGTAGCTTTAAAAAGTATTTATTATGTGCTATGATGATTTGAAATCAAAATGATAAAAATGATTACAGCAAGTTAAGCCCTCTAAGAAGATCTGAGCAATAATATGGTTTCACGCACAGTATTAAATTGTGCTAAAAATTTTAATAATTTACTTTTTTCTGAAAATGTGATAATGCAATGATGATCTAAAATCATAATGATAAAAATGATTTGATATCCTCTAAGAAGATCTGAGCAGAAGTTTGATTTCTTAAAAGTGTTGTATTCAAATGGTTTACTTTATCTTCTGAAAATGTGATATGCAATGATGATCTGAAATCTTAAAGATAAAAATGATTTGATGTATTATCCTCTAAGAAGATCTGAGCAGTAGTTTGATTTCTTAAAAATATTGTTCTCAAGCATGGAAATGTCAGTCTTCTAAACTAAGCTTGTGTCAAATGATGAAATTTCTTTCTAAAACATAAAAATTAGTATTTTTGAACGCTTGTTACCTAGCAGCAACAGGAACAGTTATAAATGTTTCATATTTTGTAACAGTGATAATTACTTGAAAAATAAAGTTGACTTTAGTCTTGAATTTTATAATTGTATAATTAAATATTTGATTGTTTCATAATGTATCCAACTTTTGGATTTTATTCGTACAAATTACAAAAGTGAAGTTTAGTTGTAGATAATTGCTTTAATTTATTCGGTTTCTATTTGCTGAGGTTCTTGAATTTTTTCACTCATGGCCCTTAAATGAATCCTGGTAAATGTTTCTATACTTAATGAACATGTAGTTGTTACTTCCTCTGTTAAAAATATGTAGGTTTATTCAGAAAGTAAGGTCCAATTTTATAAAAACATAAACCATTGTAGATTTTTTGCCTTGCCTATTCCTCTATTTTTCTACATAATTTCCATATTTGTTTACATTTTTTTCATAACTTCTATAAGCTTTTGTATGCCTAAGTCGTATAGATGTCTGTCACCTGTTACAATAACCACTGAAATGCTCCTTTTATCTCGTCATCTATGGCGAAGTACTCCTTTAGTTAGTCACTGTCTGGACTGAACCAGTGGGTGGTCAGACTGTTTCTAGGGAAAGGTAGCCAGCCTGATTTGGACTGTTATGATATACAAAGACTGATGATATCTGCGAGATTTGAGATAGGCATTTTGTTATACGTAGATGTAGAAGAGGTTAATGCAATTGTGTTTGTAAAGAAATGCCTTGTGGTTACATTGAGAAAAGTGTTTTTGTTTGGCTAAGAAGAAAATCTCTTATTTAGACATAAGTGTGAAAGCAGTTAATTTGTCTGAAAATAAGTAATTACATGTCTTATACCATCACAAAACTTGCTTATTTATCTACAATTTGCAATTATAATTTTGCGAGGTTATGTTAGTTTGATGTTTCTGTACAATATCAAGCCTTAAATATTAAAGTTTCCCAAGTTGGACCGAAAGCAGTTGCCGAAATTGAACCGGTCCAATTTCAGCAACAACTTTTTTTTCATGGATAAATTATAATTAACCCTAGAGTGCTACCCTTCAAAAAACTTACGGGAATGGCAGCCATTGATCACTGAGATGAAGTATGCGTAAGCGTGCTTAAAACTTATTTTAAAAGCTAATTGCAGAAATATTTCTGCAATAAGAAAAATTCTTATCTGTAAGTAGCCAAGGTTTAACCAAAGTGTCAGTTCACCCAAAGTTTAACAAAATGCAGAAACGTAAAAAAGAAACTGGTGATTCATGGTTTTGTATATTATGTGAAGAAACTAAGAAAGAAGAAATGATACAATGCATGAAATGTTATGCTTGGATACATACTCGGTGTGCTGGAGTTAGTGCTGCAATTAAAAGGTTCTTTTGTTGTAATTGCCGTTAAGAAAGCTCATGGTCCAAATAAGGAAACCGTTTTCCTAAATTGAACCAATATGATTTTTTTCAATTCATTTTTCACCTTTATAAATAATTTTAAAATTTTAATAAATGGTTCTATTTTGAAGGTACACTTAGTGAGTGTATTTTCTACTACTTAATTTTTATTGGCTTTTCTTCAGTCTCTCTATATAGTGAAAAATACAAAATCGGTTCAAATTAGGCTACTCTCCCCTATAAGATTTTGGGTGTGAATGTCAGAATGGAATCTGAGATTTAGATGTGGTAGCAGGCCACAGCAGATGTGGATTGGTTTCACTTTACAGATAACTCAGTGCCATTCAAGGTCTGTGCAGGTAGGCATTATTGTCCATAAATATTTCTGGCACTGGATAGCGTGTCCCTGGCTCTCGCCATATTCATTTCCTTTCAAGAATTTTTCTGGATGTTAAATCGAGACTTGCTCCTGTAAAGAGTATATGCCTCATGCCTCCACTGGTCTGCTATCCAACTGTGATGTTCACAGGCCCAATATACCCAAGTCCAGTATAGATAAAAATATAAAAAAATTGTTTTAATATAAAAATAATTTGCACAATTTGCATTCAAGAATGCATTGTCTGCATATTCAGATATTCATTATTAAAATGACATTTTTCCCATTTTATTGTTTAAGACTTTCTGAAAAAAATTCTCAATAAATATATTCTCAATATTCTAAATTATTTAATTTTAAAAACAAATTTTTGTTTTTAAAATTAACAACAAAAACAAATGACAGGTGCCATTGTGCGTAACACTGGTTCATAATGACACCGAGTTGATTCTAAGTGACATACAGCTGGCTTTGTTCTCATTTATTTCCCCCAAAATTTACTGCAAACATGTAACCAGTACCTTTGATCACCAAGTTTTCTTTGATAATACTAAGATAATTTTAAATGCTTCTAATTTATCTAATAGATAATTTTTATTAATTTATGCAGTATTTTAATGTTTCTGTACCTTGATACATCAATTTCTGTGCTAATGAGGCAGCTGGCCTGTACCTGATATAAAATCTCTGAAATCCCTTCTGGGTGCCATATTAATTTTAATGTCTTATTTTATATAGCTTAAAATTATTTTATATGGCCATTTGATACTTTTGATGAACATTTGCAAAATCAATGTGATTAAAATACTTCTAATGCTGATTATTTTTCCTTTTTAATTTTTTTTTTTTACCCAGCATTGACTTTGGAAAAAATCTGTTCATTTTACACTAAAATGCAGCTATTTTTAAAACTGGAATTCATGATACTTTGGGATTCAGGAGTTAATAATCAAGGTTTTGCGAGTGATTTTTTAAACTAAAATTTGTTGTACAGGTGTATTATTTTGTTTTTATGATAAATGTATAAGAATAGTGTATATAAAAATAAGTGTTTTATGTACATCCCTTGATTTTATAGTTTAGTGTACCAGCTGGTATGCCTTTTTAAATACAGAATTTTTCTGATTTTTTAAGGTATCCTTGCTAGTCAGTTGCAAATGGAAGTTGAAAGATATGGATTCTCAGCTTCATTGTATGATTTCATTTTTTTAGCAGCCTGTGTAAACATGATTTTTTAATCATAGGAATTATGTAGAAGTAGTGTGTTTGTATGAAACTGGAATGCTTTTGATTTACACAAATAAGTAAAGCAACATTTCGAAATGATAAAAAAGTTCAATCAGTCCATGATTGAAATATTTGTGTAACTGATTATTCTGAGAAAGGTATTGTTACCGAAATAAGCAAAATTAGTTTAGGGCTGATAAGCTCTTGCTAGAACAATATGTTAAAAAAGAAATCAGGATAATGATTACCTTTCTTTTAAACACAATGCACAAACTTTTATTTTACAATTACTTGAAAAGCTGATGGAGAAATGTCCAGTTAATTATTTACTAATTCAAAATGCTTTTTTATGCATCCAAACTGGTGCAAAACAGCATTAATGCATAAGGGATCCCAAAAAAGTCACACTGCACAAGAATGTGATAACATCCTTTTGGAATATTCCAATATCTTCAAAAATGTCCAGCCATACCATACAAAATTTAAGACCTGTGATTTGAAAAAATGAAATTAGATAATATTTTGCACACGTTCATTAATGAAAAATACTTATATACTTCAAAAATATAAGTGATGGGGAAACATTTAAAATGATTTTTTTTCTTTTCCATGAAAAGCCTCTGTAGAATGAGGATTTAGTATCAATAAAAATATCGAAACTGAAAATCTGGAGGAAAATCCATACATTGCCCAGCACAGTTTGTGATTATGTGAAACATGCTGATGGGATTCACAATGTATCAACTGTGGAAGAGATGAGAATGGCAATTTCATCAGTTCATTCATAGTATTGATTACATTTACTTTCTTCGGATTGGCAACAAATCTATTCTGCTGTGTTAAATGTAAACAAACATTGACGCCACTGCAAAAGGCTTAGCAGCACTTAAACAACTTTTAAATTGTTAATAATTCTAAAAATATTGCATGCAGATTAACTAAGGCATAAAAACCTTAACTGGAAGATAAGAACAACATTATTCAATCATTTTTAAACCAAAGAGTGGTCGAGTAACAGTAGTTATATATATACATATATTTATATACTTTTGGTAAGGCCGATTGCAACCAAAATACAAGGTGCACATCTACATGCTATAGCAATCCCATATACAAAATTTCAATGCTCTGAGGCTACTTGTTTTTGAGTTATGCGAGTTGGAAGTGCAGAAAAAAAAGTTGAGAAGAATTGTTCAAGATTAAAAAAATAAAAATCTGAAAGCTTTTGTATTTTATATTATGCCCAAAGGTGCACTTTTTAACATTTTGTGTGTTACCTTTATTTATTAAATATCATATTCTTCACACTTAAACCATAAAATTCAATTCAACAGCAATATCACAAAATATTTAAGAGCTCTTTTAGAATTTCTGATCTTGAATTCTGTAGTCTCGCACACTGGACAGGGTTCGTACGGTCCTTAAGTCCTTAGATTTTTTGGAATCGATTTTTGGTCCTTAATTTTGGCCAAAATCAGCAGAAGGGTCCTTAATTTTCATCATCTGAAATTTCTGTTTATTTTTACGACTGCCATTTTGAGTGCAAATTAGCCTTTTGGAGGAATATTTTTGGCGATTCACTGCCATATATAGTTATCTTTGGAATGGGCTCATTTATTTCTATTTCTAATATAAATGATGGGATACTCGTTTCTAAGCAAGAAGTGAAATATAAGAATTTCGAAATTCATTTTTTCTAATAAAGAGCTCTTAAAACAACTTTTTGCTTTTGGGGATGTGAATTCTTTTATTAAACGGTTCTAAATTTGGCGACTTTTCAACATTTTGGCGATTTTAAGCTTAGTTTCTATAGAAAATTTTTAATTCCGAGATCTGAGGATTTTTCGACGATTTTTTTTAAAAACATCGTAACATTCATCGTTCATTAAAATAAT